GGAAAATCCCTAGCAAGTCCATCCTACCGTCCCTACGCTCCCCTTATAACCCTGCAAACCGATGTCGTGGATGGGGACAGCTGTGCGTCGCAAGATGGATGCCGGCCTTGCAGCCCATGCATGGTAGTGCGGCTGTGGGTGAGCGTCAGCTGTCAGTGTGTGCGTGTTCATCCCTGGCCATCCATCGTCATTATTTATAGCCTACAGAGATAATGATGGTCTGTGTTTTCATCAGCATAGGCAAGAGGGCGGCGGGGGTGTCTTCATTCGGGGTGGGCGTGTTTCATCTCGTTGGGGCGTCTTACATACTGCAACCGCCGTCGAGAATGGGGGTCGACAAGCCCCTTCAGCGTGTTACAGGCCAGTGGATGGCCTCGGGAAGGGGTCGACAGGCCCCTTTGGCGTGTTACAGGTCAGTCGATGGCCTTGGGAGGGGGTGGCAGGTCATTATCTCTGTTCACCAGAGATAATAACGGCCCTGGGGCTCTGTGCGCATCATTATTTCTGGCAACCAGAGATAATGGCACTCAGGGGACCTCGCAGAGGCGTTTTGGGCCCAAAACGTAACACGGCCGTGTTACAAAAAGTATATTAATAGGGAACCCTTGTTCGTGGCATAAGTAGAAGATTAACATAAAGTAAGTCTCATACCATTAAGCACGATACGGATGACTTGCCACATACTTACTGTGCAAATGCCGCTGTCAAGGTGCTCGGACGTCCTCGACGGGTCTATGGACACCCGAAACAGTACAAGGTGGCGAGTTGTGATACTCAGCTGCTCATCCTCGCTGTTCGGAAGTGAACCTAACGAGGGTGTACGGCCCATTCTACGCATCCGCGATCTAATGAGCCCACACCCAACACCCCTCCAACATGGCCCAACCTGCGCTTCCGGTTGACGTTCGCCACCGAGAGGGGGCTGGTGGGTAATCGATGCACGAGACGTTCAGCCAAATTCTGAAGAGACGGGTGAGCTACGTCGTTCATGAACGAAACAAACGTGTACAGACTTCAAGCTTCATAGAAGTGCTATCCACCTACCCACTTGACGTTGCCCATGGCGGTGGACAGAGAATTTGTCTGCATACGGGCTCTATACTGAAGGTTAGATTTTCACATTCGATACGAATGCCGCCGACTCGCCTTTGTTCTGGTACCAGTCATGGGCGGCGGTTTGTGCGACGGCATCGTGCTGAACGCCTTCTGAAACGCAGATCGTCGCATTTGGGTGGTGAATGGAGGTGGTAGGGCAATAGTAGGACCTAGAAGAAGCCACCATTCATCTCATAGACCGCGCCAGCTGTCAACATTCGCGTTCGCGGTCTTTGTCGTTAAAGTTCGGCTGGTAAGAATGAAATGAGGTCCAACAGGTATGGCAGAGGTTCGAGAACGAGATGAAGGCAAAATTTGATTTTACG